TCTGCGCCGAGAAACCATTGAGTTTTTCATAGCGCCGCGACTTTCGTCGCAGTTTTTATTTTCTCATTACAGAGATTAAGGAATGAAACGGGAGTTGAAGGATGGGGAATTTAATTCTCCATTGAACAGTCTTTGTTTTATCCCTTAATATTAATTAGTCGGCGAATAAATCAACTGAAAAACATGAAGTAAATATTGAATACAAGGAGGACAAAAGTCCCCCTTCGAACCTGTCCCTGTGACAGCGGGACTGCTCCTGCCGAGTTACCCACGCACCCGACTCACATTCACCGACAATTCGACCGGGACGCCACCTTTCCCGTGGGGTACCAACTAACTTTACTCGGGGTCAGTCAAACCCCCGATCCGGGCCTCTACAAAGGTCTATCCTCTTTGCCACAATACGTCGTTGGGGCGAGTATCTACAGCTCCGTGACGAATACTGCCCTCAAGACAGTGGGCTGAGGAATTAGTGGAGATGAGTCCACTAATAGGCTGGGTCCAAAATAGTGCAGTCGAAATATGCAGATTGCGAATAATCACTGTCCGTGATTTGAGCCAGACCAAGAACTGATTCGGATAGCTGGGTTGGCAATTGACTCTCTGTGACTCGTTCTTAGTAATTGGCCTTTGCGACTGCGACTGTCTACTGACTGATTACTGACTAACTGGCCGACTGACTGGGCGACTAACTGGTAACTGCTTGGTAACTGGCCTAGTAACTGCCTTGGATGTCCGGGGGCAGCCCTTATATCGCTGATCCTTGATTGACCCATCCGTAATGAGGGATTCTGTAGGGGTGGGTCCATGGCAACCCGATGTCCTCGGATGATGGCCATATCTGGGTATTCGTATCATTTTATGACTTTTGTGCGCACCGGGCTGGTTCGTGGTCAAGAGGGTAGAAAAGCGAGGGTAAGTTCAGGCCTCGCGCTCTACGCGTGATTCAAGGAATCGGTCCCCTTTTATGATACCCGGAATCTCAGTTTGACCCTTCGTAATGATGACGCACGCCTATCGAGGGGGAGTGATAATGGGGTGGAAATCGTCATAATTTCCGATCCATTGGGTTTTTACGAGCGCACGTGTTCATAGAATGACGTCATGGCCTCTTGATGTGCGATAAGCTAGAGCATAACCTTGGAGAATAGTGATGCCTTCTTCCAGGTGAGTTATCCGGTGTTCATTAAAATTGGCCTAGTCAAAAATGCTGTATGCATAGAGTGGAAAATCGTGGTTTTACCAATGAGTGGCGAATCGACTGTCGATTCATTCGTGTTACTCATGAAGTATCTCCATTCACACGTGGGTCGGGTTTATTTCAAGGCACGTGCGAGTCTTGCATTTTCCGGTGATTATTTTCTTACTCATTATAACAACGGTCCACAGAGGCTGGATCTGGCTATTTGGAAACGCTTGATTATGAGTTTTTCCATTAGGCTGATTTTTATGACCGTGGTCACCCTCAAGTGGTTCCGGAGGGGCGTCTCGAAATCGGTCTCCCCACATTTAGTGTCACCGAGCCCTCATAATTTACATATTTTATGAGGTTCTTATGATCGTTGACAACATGCCATGGGGGTGGTTTTACTTATTGCATGATCACAGTTTCCATAGGCACTGGGTATCTCTATTGGTCAGTTGTATCCTTGTATAGCCACGAAATCCACTGTTCCCCGTAATCACCCCAACAACAATGGCGGCACCCCTGGTACACGCGTCGCCTTGGGTGGTAACAATCTCGATCGTCCTGCACGCTCCGTGGTATTTGTGGAAGATGGAGGTTTTTGTTTATAAACTCTATAAAGAAAACGCGGAGTCCGCGACAGGCTGACGAATCTCTCTTTTAGTAGATTTTTGCAATAAAGTCGCATGCGTTCCTATTCCGCATATAATTCGTGGAAATATGAAGATTTCTAGACTTCACAGTTATAGAAATACCATCTAAAATCCCGTCTGCGAATCTTAAAAACGTTTAGAGCTGACATTCCTATGGTTTTAAAGGTCAAACGGCCCTTAAGAACGTTTGGATTTGGGGGTCAAACGATCTTTAAAAACGCTGAGTGTTGACATGTGAATAGTTTTTAGGGTCAAACTATCGTGAAGAACGTTTGGATTTGAGGGCCAAACAACCCGTGAAAATGGCGGACATTTGACATATGATTTGAGGGTGAAACGATCCTTAAAAATGTTTAGGGTTGGCATTCGAATAGTTTTGAGGGTCGAACTACCCTTACGAAGATTTGAATTTGAGGGTCAAATGGATTTGGGGGTCGAACGACCCTTGAGAACGTTTGGATTTGAGGGTCAAATAGTTTTAAAGGTCAAACGATCCTAGAGAACGTTTGGATTTGGGGGTCAAACAGTTTTGAAGGTCAAACGACCCTTAAGGACGTTTGGATTTGAGAGGCAAATGGTTTTGGGAGTCAAATGACCTTTAAGAACATTCAAAGTTAAAATTCCAATAATTTCGAGGATCAAACGATCCTAAAAAGGTTTAGGGTTGACATTCGCATGGTGTTAAGGGTCAATCTACCCTTAAAAACCCCTGGATTTGAGTATCAAATGATCCTCAAGGTCAAATAACCGAAGAAAAAACAAATTTTCCGGCACTTCTCACTCAATTCCTAAATTCTCCACTCTCAATATGTTTTGATCGTCTCATTTAATTTTTTTTCAGGTCTCCGCCTGGGACGAGCACTCGGAGGTCTGTTCTGGCTAACATTAAATGACTTCTCAGTGACGTTTCACATTCCCAAAAATCAACGGAAATAATACTGCAGCTCAGAAACGTCGATTGAATAATCTAGTCAAGAATGAAAAATGGGAGAAGTCAAAAACCCAAAACAAATCATAATAAAATTTGTAAAAATAGTTTTTCACTCGACACTTACACAATTATATTTTTTACGTAATTGTCTGTGAAAGTTGAGGCTGAGGACCATGAGAACATTAAACAAATGTTGAAATCTCAAGACTTGACAAGGGCAGAGAGAATTGTTCGAGGAACTTTTTGGGATGATTTTTCAAGAGGAAAATGCCAAAATTTTGTTACATTAGAGTTTAATTAAATTTCCTCACTCGAGATATAGTATATTTCGTAACGAGCTAAAAAACATTTTTTCACGAGTTACGAACAATATTTTTCATCACAATGTGGCGGAAATTGGACTTTTAGGCACGCGGAGCGTGCTGAAAAGTTCACTTTTCGTCACAGCGTGATGAAAACGTTTTTATTACGTCTTTATGTTATTATTCATGAAAACAATTCATTCTATTTTTTTTCGTTTTTAATTTATCATTGGGGCACCTCGAGTGCAGTGAGATGAATTCGTAGGATTTTTTATACCAAAAAAATAATTAAAACGTTTTTATAAAATTGAACAATTGATGAGTTTCAGTGAATTTCGATTCAATCAGTGTTTTAATGGTTAATGAACAGATGATGGAGTTTTTCACGGTTTCAAACGTGAAGTGAGAGGAGATATATAAACCTGTGTAAGATTGAAGGACAAAGGAAAATAAAGTTTTTAAAATATGAAAAAATGGGTTTTGTAAATGAAAATCACCTTTCCCTCCTTTTTTTTCGAAATTGAATTATTGGATGAGGAATTTATGTACTTTACAATGAAGAATATATTTAGGACGATATTGTTTATAGTGTAACGAAATCGAATGTTTAATTTATCAATGCTCTTCCCTCTAGACGAAATAAATGATTGTGTATTTGTTTTGTTTTTGTTATTCTATTCATTGGATACTGTTCAAAACCTACAACAAATAGATTCAAATTCATCTATATTAATTAAATAAATAAATCCACCCCTTTTAGTTAATTTTTCGTCTATCCTTTCTGGAAGAAAGCATGGGCAATATCTCGAATGAATGGGGCGAAAGTAAGGGGGTTTTCATGAGTACCATCGCCTTGTGTTGAATTTTCATGAAACCCGCCTAACAAACAAAAGAGGAAAACAGAATAATTCTGCTTCCTTAATATTGCGTTCCTTAATATTTGTTCTGAAGTTCCGAACTGAAACTGCTTCTTTAATATTTGTTCGAAGAAAACCTTAGTAAACTAAGGTTTTCGTCGAACAAAGTTGATTAGAATTAATAGCTAGAATTATCAGATTATCTCACATTTTTTACGTTAAGGATCGAAGAATCTGAATGCAATTTAGTGAAAACGATGATTGATTTTTTGACTTTGAACAAATAATATTAATATCCATATACAAAATTTCTGATATGGATAAGAAGAAGCTGTGACTCAATATTCTAAATTAAGGCCCGGGTGTACTATCTTTCGAACGTTTTTTTTTGTTGGTCTTTCGAACGTTATCTCGATGTTTTTTTTCATCTTCCGTCATCTGAAATTGTCAATTGAGTCCTGCATCATGCAGAAGTTTTGAAAAATTCTGAATGAGCAATCAAAAAAAAGTAGAAGAAATTCTTAATTTTTTCAAATAGCATTTTTAATTTATATTCAGAATAAGTTGAATAACAAGAAATTGAAAAATTTATCTGATTTAGGGTGACAAATGGCGGCCTGTCACCCAATATCATGCAGGGGGAAGACTGATTTCGTAAATATTTTCCCACATTGCACAGAGACATTTATTACGGAAAAGGCTCTTTGAAAAAAGTTGTAATATTTTGTAGAATTTTTTTATCACACTTTTATCACATAAAAATGACAGATGACTACATACCACTGTTTTGAAAATTGAGATACCTAGCTGTCACTTCCCGTGAGGAGTTAGTGTTTTGTTACCCACCATGAAAAATGACAGCTAATAGATAATTTGGCACAGCGAATCAGATATTTATAATTTTCACTTTTTTCAACTTATTCTGAAGCTCAATTAAAAATGCTCTTTGAAAAAGTTCAGAATTTTTCCTATTTTTTTTTATCATTCTATCATAATTTTTGGGAATTTCTACATGATGTATCACTCAATTATGACAATTTTGGATTACGAAAGATAAAAAAAATCCAGATAACATTCGAAAGATAGTTCACCCGGGCCTTAAATTTGAATTTTTAATTTGGTGCTAAAAACACTAGATGACAATATTTTAAGCACGGAATTATATTGATGAGATCAACAACAGATTTATTGAATTACCGTGTGCACTATGTAAAAATTGACAACAAACATTGAATTCCAGAAATTCACACTCTGTGTTCTAGAAGGAATTTAATTGTAATTATGATTAAAATCTTATTCAGTGAGCATAGGAATTATAACATGAACATATCATTTATTACTATATTATATTTTGAGTATAAACAATGAATTGAAAAAAAGGAATATCGGGCACAGTGATAGGCAATATCAATCAATCATAATTACCGTTAAATTGTGAAGTTGTCAATTTTGAATATAAATCTTAAAATTTTAAATATTAAAGTAACCATCAATTTGTATAATCAAATTTCGAAATATTCTACCAACCAATAACTTAGGTAGGAAGATTGACGACTATTTGGATAATTGAAAATCAAGTGGCTAAATTTAGAATTAGCTTGTTAACTAAAATAGTATATTTTGTAAAGAGTGCAAAAAAGTGTTTTTTGGCGAGTGATATAATCCCACGAGCTAAAAAACATTTTTTCACGAGTTACGAACAATATTTTTCATCACAATGCGGCGGAAATTGAACTTTTAGGCACGCGGAGCGTGCCGAAAAGTTCACTTTTCGTCGGAGCGTGATGCAAAATCACATTTCAATATTATCAAATATTTTATTCACCATCAATCGAAAAATTCAGCTAATAAATTCTATAATATTTTAAAATTGTTAATTATAGTTAAACTGAAAAATATAAGGAGATAATCCCTTTTTAATATTGTCAAAATCTAATATTATTTCCCATCCCTCCTGATGGGGCGTAATAAAAGGACAGCTGTTTTTCGATTATGTGACAATTGCAAGCGCATGCGTAGGACAGAAAATGGGTTGCGTGCGCAGCGCGGCTAGAACATTCGAGATTGAACTTGTTTTGACGATTTCTGGCATTCGCTGTCAACATTCGTCAAGGAGGACTGATAATATGAAGTGACAGGTTGTTTTTTGAGGCATAAAATGTCGGAACGTCAGGATTACACTGCGGAATTGACAGCTCTGGCTGAATTGGCTGGAGTCAGTGCCTCGCCGGCTATTTTCAGGTTCGTTGCACGCATTTTAACCTCGAAAATTTTGGCTGTTGATGCGAATTTTGCCATTGTGAACCCATCATTCGATAGTGATGATTTTAATGATTTAATTGTGGAAGTTGACAGGACTCCGAAGTTTACTCCGGGAATTTTGACTTAATTTTGGGTGTATGAGAGGAAGGATTGGGTTAACGAGAAAAAGTCAGAATAGATTTTTTGTATAGGATTAAATTTTCCGTAAGATTGTCTCGTGATATTTTCCGCTGGCTTCATTAATCAATGAGATAATTAAATTAATAACGAAACGTGGACGACTGAATTTAAGGGATGGTGAGGTCGGCCTGCTTTTGTCATTTATATCTCAGTACCGAATGATGCGAATGAGATGAGTCAGGGCTCATTTCAAAGCCTGAAAAAGTGCATTCCAAATTTTAAAAAATGGTTGAATTTCACTCTGCCGATCTTGAGTTATTAACGATTACAGACTCTTTTTTCCTCTTCTCTATGTGAAAAATTAGAGTCAATTTCCTTGTCAAGAGAACATTTTGTACATCAGGCAATTTATTCTCTAGCCAAAAAATCTAAAGAATTTTTCCAAAACCCATGCAAAACTCCTGGCGACATTTGCCGAATTATTAAAAATCAATTTTCAACTAATTTGGAAAAATGCGAAAAGTCACTTTTCATTTTCATTAATTACGCAATTATCTCCGCAACAAGAGGGTTTAGAAGAACAAGGCAGAAGACTTTTTTATAGAGAATTAAATTCCCCACAAAAATGTCCTTTAACATTTCCTCGTGAAACCCCTCGCCACGGAGATATTAAGCGAAATGTTGGAAGACTTGTTTTACGAATCCTAAATTAACGATTTTGGAATGTTCAGGATAATTAATGAACTTTTGGAGATGCGTGTGACCCCAGAGGACATCCACCACCTCCTCAGGCGCATCAGTGGCATTCCATCGAGGAAGGAAAACGCCCCTGGAAAATCCGGAGCTTCAAACCACTGAAACTTCACTCCCACCTCACAAAATTAATAAAAACTGCGAAATAAATTGAGTAGTTTTTAAAAATTCTCATCTTTATTCTCATAAACTCTTAAATTATCTCTCACTGAGTGCATGCTTCATTCCTCTTAATATAAAAAATCCCGAGTTTTTTAATGTTATAAAAAAATACTCTTTGTCTCAGAGAAGAACAAATCTCCATTTTGGTCAAGAAAAACAATTATTTTGGATACATTTGGAATAATCAGGAAGACAATAAATTGCTTTGTCTTCGATAAATTCCTTTGGATTGCAGTCGAATCGCCTTTTAATAGAAATTTTAATTGTTATTTGATAATAGAAATGTAATTTAGATTTTTATTCTTTGATTAAATTTATTTTTTATCTAAAAAATTCTTGAGCATAAATTTCATAAAAGAAATCGAAATTTGACTTTTTTCTATTAAAAAATATGCAATGGAAAAAAGGCAAAAACACTTATTTTTTAATAGAATTAACATTAGAATAGAATTCTATTTATTTATCTTATGAAGACATTCACGTATGGAAAAATTCTATAAAAATTATAATTAATACATTTTGATTTTTTTATGTGAATTTTTTTTCATACAAAATTTCAAGAAAAAAATTCAACAGAATAACTTATAGAAAAATCAAAATTTATCGACTTATTCTTATTTAAAAAAGTAACAAAAAGTCCAATATTTAATTTTTTATTCAAAAAATCGTCGAATTCGAAGAGAACCCCAGTAGAACCCCAAGAATTTCTTAGAAAAAACACAACTTTTTTGTATTAAATATTTCCATACGTTTCTGACTGCATCCATAAAGAAAACAAAAATAAAAGGGAATCATCAAAAAAAAATAAAAAATCATGAAATTGTTCGTTGAGATTTGTTTCATTCCTCATTAAACTTTTTGGCACCTCCTTTGGCCAGAGCATCAGCTTCCTCATTGCCCTTCACCCCCGTATGTGCAGCCACGAATTGCTAAGCCAAAAAAATACAAATTGAGTCGCACAAAATTAAAACAAGTGGGGAAATTGCTCTTGTCTTGTACATAGCATATTTATTTTTACTAACAAATTAGCAATATGCTTCCGAATGGTTATTTTGGACACAATTTCCTTGAATTATACATGACACAATCATGTATAATTCATTGTTTATTTCATTTTATTAAATTGCATAAGATTTCCTTCTACCTAATTTTGTCAGATTTTCAACTTAGTTGAATGTTATAAGCATCATTATTCTCATTATCCCTTTTCTTCTATACAACCGATTGTCTTTTTTACTGTTCTATCTCTCCCCTCAGCCCTTCGATAGAATGTAAATAGGAAAATTTTCTTTACACATACTTGAATGAATTTGAAAAATCACATTTGAAGAAACCATCAGAAAGCTCACTTTCAGAGAAATTCATGAAAAATTCAAAATTTTCGACAATCATCAAAAAATCAAATCAACAAATATAGGTATCGTAATCATCTTTCAACTTTGACTTAACGGCTTCAAAACAAACATTTTAAGCTATGATTGAATTAATTTGAAACATGATATTCAAAGATATCCCCGGAATTCTAATTTTCAAACAATACAAAATTTTTTAAAATTTTCGAATAAATCAAAGTAACGATTATTGCTATCGCCTTCATCATCGAACTCGGTCAAAGGGACATCCAAACGAATTTTTTAAGCGATCATTCAATCAATTCAGAACATTTTGTTTGTAGTTATCGTGAGACAGGCGATTTTCGAAAAGATTCAAAAATTAAAAAAACTAATCGATAAATTAAATTTTAATTAATGGCGATCGATGGGGCTCAACAATACCTCACCTGCATTTGAAAAAAAAAGATTCAATTCCATTCATTCATTAGCGAACAATTGAAGAAAAACTGTAAAAATTGCATTGTCGGACTTTTTGGATCATAATGGGTCGATATAACACAAAAAATCTAAAACTTAAATTTGAACGATTTCATTCCGAAGTAAAAATGCTAAAGTGCAATGCTTGCATTCGGAAGTGAAAAAAACAGCACACATGCAGAATTAATTAAATTCAGTAGCGAAATGGTAAACCGGTTTAAGTCGACTCATCTCCCAATTGAGTTTTTGAGGAATATTTACGAATCTAACGGAGATAGCGAAATTTTCGTAACTACATTTGTTGTAGTTCTCAATCGGCTCTACAAAGGTCATAATCAAAATTTTGCTATCTCCCTTCGATTCCGAGATATTTATTGAAAACTGGTCAATAGTCAAAATTGATTTATACCGTTCTACCACTTCGCTACTGAATTGTGTTGTATTTTTTTAACGATGCATTTAAATTTATTTTCCTGGGGAACTACTCACGAATTTAACGTCGACTTTCTCGATAACTTTCTTTAGCTCCAGCAGCATCTCTTTGTTCTCCACCGGCTTCTTGTTGGCGTTCATGAAGCCATTCATCACCCAATTGTCCCACCACTCATTCATGCACTTGATAAGGTAATCAGAGTCTGTGTAAACTCGAAGTTTATCGATCTTGAATTCGACTGCAATTCTGCAGGCAGCTGTGGCTGCCTGGATCTCAGCCACGATGTTGGTGGCTTTGGGGCCTTCGACAGGGGCCGAAAGATTTCTGGGAAATAAATTAATACATATTGTTACGCCCCAGATTTGGTCAATTGCGTTATTGTTGAATGTGTGGACATACAGCATTATCAGCGTGACACTTGACAGCGTAACTGGATTAGGCTGACCAAGTGATGAAATGTAAACAATCAATGTATTATTTAAGGTGAAAGTTTGATTTTTTCCGGTTTTTACCCTCAAAATGCTCCTTGCGTCGTAGTTTTCACACGATTTTAGCTTTTTTTTAAATGCTCGTTACGCTCCAAAAAATAAAGTTAAGCATCCGTTTTACTTTATTCGCAATAGATTATGAATAAATCAGTAGCGAAGTGGTAAAACGGTTTAAGTCGACTCATCTCCCAGTTGAATTTTCGAGGAATATTTCCGAATCTAAGGAAGATAGCGAAATTTTCGTAATCATTTGTTGCAGCACTCAATCGGCTCTACAAAAACAGTTATAACAACAATTTCGCTATCTCCCTTAGATTCCGAGATATTCATTGAAAACTGATCAATAATCAAAATTGACTTATACCATTTTACCACTTCGCTATTAAAATGAATTTTGAATTTAATAAATTTTACTCTGCTCTAGAGACGCAAAAAATTAAGCGAAATTCAATGAATTCTTTGGTAAATTTTAAGAAAGAGGGCCCCACCACCGGTCCGATGGCTAAGTTTTCAAAAGGATCGGTGGTCTGGCCGTCTTTCTTATCATTTACCAATAAATAAAAAATAATAATTTATACTGATGAGAAATGTCTAGACATTTTTTAGAGAATTGAATCGCAAAAGGCAATGAAAATCTGCCGAGAGTGGAATTCAATAAATGAACAAAATTATTTCACCAAGAATTACATGCGAGAAATCAATGAGTTAAATTTATAAAATTATATTATTGAGAATAAGACATGTTTTTAGGAACGAATCGTCTTGGAAATTGTTTCAAAAACTTACAGCGGATGGTCGACATCCCACCAGACTCCAATCCCAGCAGTGGCTCCAGCAAGTCCATTATTTGGAGCGGATCCATCTGCATAAACCTGCACCCTCCCCTCTTTGTCCCTCTTGAATGTGATATTTTCGAGGGGATTGGGAACTTGCAGCTGAGCATTCTCCCTGTAACTGGAAAAAGAAAGAAAAAGAAACATTAAGCACACACTTCAGTAGCGAAACGGTAAAACAATTCAAGTCGGCTTGGCTTTTACTGAGTTTTCGAGGGAATATTTCCGAATCTAAAGGAGATAACGAAATTTTCGCATTAACTTGTTTGAAACGCAACTAAAATTCCAGAACATTCTGGTCGACTATCGGCCTACTTCGAAAATCTCCGGGACCCTTCGGGTCATCAGTCATAAGTCACCGAAACACGCGCGAATCAGTTTAGGCTTAGCCTCTCACCGTACAAGTCTATCTCGGGCAAATCACCTGTACAAGTTTTATATCGCACCTCACCGAGTACAGTAGCTCTTTGAACCTCACCTAGCTCACTAGTAATCAAGTACATCACCGGTCTTTGTAAGATCACCGTTTTGTTCAGTACATCACCTCTGTTAATTAACTCAGTATGAATTCAGTGACTCAACGAATTGAAAGTGAAGAGACAATCATCAATTTAATTAGACATTCAACAATTTAAGACCAAAGAGTGTAATAATTAATTGACAAAGTGGTTCGATCCCACAAAATAAAGTGTGGTTTTTAAATCCGGCTCATCAGTAATTTTCCCAACAACTCCCTCCACATTTTCATCCCACATCCACCCTAAATTTAGTCTTTCACCAAACAAACCTTTTTTCTTGGGCAAATTGAGGGCTACAAAAAAGATCTATACAAAAATTTTGCTATCTCTCTTAGATTCCGAGATATTCAACATCGAAAAAAATCAGGCGAATGTGACTGAAGTGAATTCTTACTACTCTTTATGTCCCCTCCTCTTCATGAACTTCTTGGCATCGAGTTTACACTCAAAGGTCAGCCAGTCTGCCCCTTTGTACCCCAACACTTCATTCTGACAGTTGATCCTGGAGGAATTAAAGGAATTGGTAATGACGTTCAGCAATTTTTTTCGTATTCTATTTTCTGATGATTTTTTCGGGATTTACCAGCGAGTGTATATTCCTGGACCTCTCCCCACAGCTACAGCGTAGAATTTTTTGTGGGGATTATGTCCTTCTTTGTGCGTTCTTTGACATACGAATCTGAGAGATTTTCAATTTAAAATAATTTAGCGAAGAACAGATAGAGAAATAAACTCAGAAATAAATATTTTTATTTTTTAAGGCCCGAGTGGATTATCTTTCGAACGTTATCTCGATTGTTTTTCCATCTTCATAATGTAAAATATATCACAATTTTCATTGGATTTTCCATCACACAGGAGTCCCTAAAAATTATGATTGTACAATAAAAAAAAGCAGAAAAAAATAAACATTTTCAAAGAGCGTTTTTAATAAAGATTAAGAAATAAATCTGATAGAGAGGAGGTGAATGGATAATTTATCATGGTAACTAACGATCTGACAGCCATTGACTACTGTGACAAATGCCCACCTAACAGCCATTAGATACATCAAATTATTAATTTGCAATTTCCTCCCTATTGGCTTTATCCCCCAATATTATTCAAAAACGCTCTTTGAAAATGTTCAGCTTTTTTTCAACGTTTTTGCTTCCGCATGGAAGCATTGCAATCGTTCGATTTTTACATTTTCTAATTTTGCTTGGAAATGATGCAGAATGGTCTGAAACGTAAAAATACGAAGTTTGGGGATCATGTCTGTGCGTGACACTGTCCAGTCGGTGGTCTTTTTTTCTCGGAAATTTGATAATTAAACGGGAAAAATCATTCCAAAAAGTTTTAAATTTTTTCAGTTAATTGGTATAACTTGAGACTTAACTTCATGCCAAACTTCAGCTTGATCCGTCCATTAGTTTTTGAGCAATAGCCATTCGTTTTTTAACCTTTTCTCGCAAATATCTCGGAAAATACCCAATCGATTTGAATAATTTTAATTCAAAATATTCGGCATGATATCCTCTATCTAAATCAATCAAAACATATATACCCGTTCGGACAAAGTTTTCGATATATTTGGATTTTTCTGTTTTTGACTTGAAATCCTTGTTCGCGTTCTAACTTGAGTAACAATTCAGATATCGACTTGAAATTTGGCATGAAGCTGTCTCTTATAATCGCAAGGACTTGTATGGAAGATGGGCTCAATCGGTCAATTAGTTTCGGAGATATTCAACTTTGTATGTAAACCTAATGTCTTGAATATCTCAATAACAAGTCAACCGATCTCAATGATTTTTTTTTTCAAAATATTCGGCTTGATGTCCTCTAACTAAATCAATCAAAACATATATACCCGTTTACACAAAGTTTTTGAGATATTTGGATTTTTCTGTTTTTGACTTGAAATCCTTGTTCGCGCTCTAACTTGAGTAAAAATCGAGATATTCGAGATATAAACGCATCCATTCGGAAACCCGCAATCAATATATTGATGGCGAGAAAAGAATAGACGCCCTACTCAGTAGAATATGTAAAGCCGCATGGCTGCAGTCGCCTACTTGTTTTGATTGTACAATCATAATTCTTGGAGACTTCAGGGCTATGTAAAACTGAATAGCAATTGGAAATCATTTCAGATTATCAAAATAAAAAAAACAACCCAGATCACGTTCGAAAAATAATCCAACCGGGCCTTAAAGTCAATATTTTTTTTTTAATTAAACCTGGGGAGTAGAGGGTAAATGAATTGTTTTTAATCTTCAGTAACTTGAGATCGATAGAGTGAATTTTAACAATTATTTTTTCATTTTGAAGGCATTTTTTCAGGCTTTAAAATGAGCTCTAATTCTTTCACATTGAATCGTTTATTCGGAAGATATCGACGATTTAATGAGGTCCTCATAATGATTAATCATTAATCACTATTAATTATTAAATTCATTTTACTGGTTATTAATGATCATTATAATTAATTATCAATCATTATTAATGATGAGTCATTTATGATCATTGATAGTGATTAATAACAATTTTAATGACGAAAAAGTTGATTACATTAATTAAATTAAGGAATTATTATGAACAAGAATTCCTTGAAGAGTTCATGAATTAATTCACAAGTCGCGAATTAAAAAATCAAATTTGGAGACTCCAGGGCTGTGTAAAACTGAATAGCAATTGGAGATCATTTCAGCTTATCAAAATAAAAAAAAACAACCCAGATCACGTTCGAAAGACAATCCACCCGGGCCTTAAAACTTTTTTTTAGCAGAATAAACCAAATGGTTTGAATGCTCTAAATAAAAAAAACACTATCAATGATAACAAAAATTGCTATCAAACTGATAAGAAAGATAGTGAAAATCAATCAATGAAGCATAAATCAATACTCCTCAAGAAAATCCAACAAAAATAAAAGTAAAAAAAATTAAACTCACTCAAAATCACCCTCCGTCATCCCTTTACTCCTCAAGTACATAAAGCAATCGTCCCAGCAGAAAAATTTTCTGAAGTCACAGTAACTAAATTTTGATACTTGCTCCTTAGTATCAGCCCTTGGAAAACAAACGATAAAAATATTTAAAAGAATACGAAAATCCCAGAATTGAAAAAAAATGAAACGAAAAGATCAATTTTATTAAATTGAAAACTGAAAAAATTAAGCAATTATATCATTACGAATAAAATACATTTTTCGGAGTAAGTAGACTTGGAAATTGTTTTAAAAACTTAATGTCTGGAGACCTTTTGTGGGGAATTAAATCACAAAAAGCCTATCGAAGTTTTTATTCAAGATTATTCATTATAAAGATAAAAGAATATTCAACAAGATCATGAAAATCGGTTCAAGGTGAAATTGAATGAGAATCATCTAAAAAAAATTTTGCCTATTCGAAGACTGAAATAAAATATAATGTTGATTTAGTCATTGTCGCAATTTGATATTAATTAATAAAAAATTAATGCATCCAAAAATGGCTTTCATTTAAAATTCTAAAAATTAGAAAATCATATCAGAAATAATGTAGGAAATAAAACATGTTAATGTCGCTCTTCAGAAACAGCAAAATCGTAAAAAAAATGTCACAATTGAAAAAATAGAATGGAACGTGAATAAATGAAAAAATCATTTTATTGAGAATCATCTCAAAAACCAAAAATTAATTGAATTTCAAATTCTGAAAAATAAAAAATTATGTTAAAAATAACATGCGAAAATGACAATAACTGCCTTTCAAAAACAAACAATGAAATCATTAAAAAAAAAACAAAAATCCCACAATAAAAAAACAATAATAAATAATAAATAATTTAATTTCAAATTATAAAAACTAATAAATTATATAAAAAATAATACACAAAAATCACAATAACTGAAATAAAAAAATATGACCCTGAAGTTTGCAGACAAAAAAGTTCAACAGAGCATATCTGGTGAGGAAATTGAACAATTAAAAAATTTCAAGTTTCAATTTGTCAGGCGTGACGAAATCTAATCGTGATGGTGACTAAATATGTGAATAAATAAATTACGGGTTGATTTCTTCGGAATTTAACTACAGAAAACCATTGACACGGCATATCTCACCTCGAAGTTATTTTATTGGAAAAAAAACATGGTCACGATTTTCATTCTACGAAATTTCGACGTGATTTTTGTCCTTTTTTTCTAGTCTTATCGGTCAACGTTGAATCCGCTGTAGAACACTAAATCTTTGGCAAGCTTCATCCAAATGATCCGATCGAAAAAAGAAAAAGCATCACGTTTGAAAAAATTATAAATCTTATGGTGATGTTTGTTATTTTTTGTAATAAATGTTTCATTTAACAAACTGTATTTTGCGAGGAAATAGCAAAGAAATATGTCGCAGAGAAAAAAGAGCTAGAAACTCTAGAAACTCTAGTCACAAGAGGATGGGCAAATTGTACAAGGGTCACAAAAATCACGAGGATTACGAGGATCACAATGTGATGGTTAAATTTCACGAGGATCAAGCATCACGAAGATTATGAAGGGAGGGTCAAATTTTACAAGGGTAAAAAATCGGGCCGATTAAAAGGGTCGCAAAGGGAATGGTCAAATTTTGCAAGGCTCAAACATCACACGAGTCACGAGGAGATAGTCAAATTTCACGAGGGTCACAAGGGGATAGTCAAATTTCACACGGGTCACGAGGGTCACAAGAGGGTACTCAAATTTGTCGAGGGCCAAACATCAGGAGAGTCACAAGAGGATGATTGCACTCCAGGAGAATCAAACATCACGAGGGTAACGAGGGGATGGTCAAATTTTACGAAAGTCGAATATCCTGTGGGAAATTCTCGGATTTTCTAGAAAATTTGAGAAAATGCTCGGACTTTCTCAAACATTCGCACATTATTTTTATCATTCTTTTTGCCTTCACATTTCTCTGAGACTAAATTTCTCGTAAGATTTACAACGCAATGACTAAATTTCACGAGTGTTGAATGTGACACCCTTGTGACTCTCGTGGCGGCCGTGAAGCTTGACCACCCCTTTGTGACCCTTGTGATTTTTGACCCTCGTGAAATTTAATCATTCCCGTGTGATCCACATATCCCTCGTGAAGTTTGGACATTCCCTTGTGACCTACGTGACCCTCGTGATTTTTGACCCTCGGAAAATTTAACCATCCTCTAAAGACTCTCGTGATGTTTGACCCTCGTGAAATTTGACCAGCCCTTTGTTATTCTTGTGACCCCCGTGAAATTTGACCATCCTCCTGTGACCTTTGATGAAGTTTGACCATCTCTTTGTGACTTTTTGAATAAAAATTATTTTTCCTATTTTCTAAGTTTTACACTCACGAGACCGAGACGATACTGGAAATTTTGATATTTTTCGAGACCGAGACGAGACTGGCGAAAGTCTCGTCTCGTGCGCAGCCCTAAAAAGAAGAAACTCAAAGGAGAGTTTTCAAGAATGACATGTATAAATGTCGATTTTTTAAGAATATAATCATTTTTGTAGAAGATATCCGATGTTGATCGTATTTATTTTCGTAATTCCATCATTTTTGATGGAAATATCGAAGAGAAATCGAAAAAAAAATTTCACGTTGAGTTTTTATTGTAATCCAACGTTTCATTTATGTTTTGTCCCAATCTACGTATCTTCCTCGTAGATATCCTCAGTTGATGTTTTCCCTCGTGAAAAACATTACATATAGGGGAGGATGGGGTAAAATGGACACTTTGGACTTTTTTTAAATTACTCATAACTCAGAAACAAATTCATCAATTGAGCTCAGTTTAGGCTCATTACAAATGGAAAGAAATGTTCTTTGCATTTAAAAAAAAACTATTGAATTTCATCAACATTTCAAGCTGTTATTAACATTTGAAAAAAAGTCAAAAGTGTCCATTTTACTCCAACCTCCCCGTTTATTAATGAAACATTTATTACAAAAACAAGAAACATCACGAGAAGATTTATAATTTCTTCAAACGTGATGCTTTTTATTTTTTCGATCGGATCATTTGGATGAATAATGGAGCTTGCCAAAGATTTAGTGTTCTACAGCGGATTTAACGTTAACCGATCGGACCATAAAAAAAAGGACAAAAATCACGTCGTAATTTTGTAGAATGAAAATCGTGACATGTTTTTTTTTCCAATAAAATAATTCCGGAGTGAGATATGCCGTGTTAATGGTTTTCCATAGTTAAATTTTGAAGAAATCAACTCCTAATTTATTTATTTACATATTCATGATTGGATTTCGTCATACCTGACAAATTAAAATTAGAAATTTTCTCATTGCTCAATTTCTTCATCAGATATGCTCTGTTGAAGATTTTTGTCTGCAAACTTCAGGGTCATAAAAAAGTTGCATTTTAGTATGGGCCATTGGAAAAAACAATCAATAAGATCGTTAAAGGAAACAAAAAACCACAAATAAAAAAAAAGACAATGGAACGTAAGGTTGACTGCAACGAAAGCCACATCGCGAAAAAAAAAATATCGTGGCCCGCGCGTCGAAAAAACTGAGATTGCGTTAGCAATAATTTCTGAAATATGAAAAAACCCCAAGAGTCAACGAGATTAAATTGAGAAAATTGCGAAATAAACTGGGGATTTGACAAGTTCCGTCGTGTTCCATTCAATTCTGTATAATTATTTGTTTTTCTCACCAGTTGTCGTAGATGCCGGGCACACGGCCTTTGGCAACCGCATAATACGCCTTTGGCTTTGAATACCAGACCATTATCAGAGATTATAAATTCTCCACCACCAGAAGATCCGCAACAATCCAGGAACAATTGATTAAAACTGTAAAATCAAATTTGTGAAGAATAAATACGGTAAATACGTAAAATTCGGGGGAATGATGAGGGAGCGAGGAACAACAACTGAGCTGAGGCGGCTGAGGCTCGACCGGCCAACGCGTATAATTCGGTGAATCCCCCTCTTGTCTGAGGATGGGGGACAAAATCCCAAAGGGCCAAAATCCCAAACCGGAAATGAGGGAGGGGGAATGCTGAAGTAAGAAGAGGTGCCATCTAACGATCGGAGTGAAATATAGTATCGCCTTGTTCCTGCAGATGGCGGATGGAATATTAAAAGTATGTTGAAATCAAAGATTTTCTTCGTTTTGAAGCCGTCGAAAATCACGACACGATGAGAATACTACCGGGAGCGCCCGGGTTTTTTTTTTTTTTTCAAAGGAAATATTGATCGAAGAGCAAATTCATTACAACAATAATATTCCGTGGCTATCGAACGCAATCGGAACAATTTTCATTAAAAAGAAATGTTTTGCAACAGCAGCAAGAGTTTATCGGGCGAGAACGGCTACAATTTTTTTCTTTGAAAATAATAGATTTTCAACAAATTTTTGACAACATTTATACATGCAGTCTACCGGGTGGAACCGGTACTTTTTTCCCGACGCAATATTATTTTTCCAACAATCTTTGACAACAATAATATACGCAGTCTACCGGGCGAAACCGGTACAGTTTTATTTTAGAAAGATATCTTTTTTTTGCATCGAAAGCTTCCATAAAAATGTAAGCCACAGTCTACCGGGTGAAACCGGTACGATGTTCTGCCAAGGAAACCATAAATTTTCAACAACAATAATATAGACAGTTTACCGGGCGGAACCGGTACAGTTTTATTTTTAAAAAATATATTTTTTTTTGCAACAAATGCTATCATAAGAATGAAACCAACAATCTACCGGGTGGAACCGGTACGGTTTTCTGCCAAGGAAACTATAAATTTCCAACAACAATGATATAGACAGTCTACCGGATGAAACCGGTACAATTTTCTGCTGCGGAAACATTAGTTTTTCTAAAAATTTTCAACAACAATAATATAGGCAGTCTATCGGGCAGAACCGGTACGGTTTTATCAAAAAAAAAAATCTTTTTTTGCAACAAATGCTTTCATAAGAATGAAAGCCACAGTCTACCGAGTGAAACCGGTATGGTTTTCTGCCATAAGAACCCTAAATTTTTAACAACCATAATATACAGACATATACCCGACTGCCCGATAGACTGTGTACCGGGCGGAACCCGTACAGTTTTATTTTTTTTTAATATTTTTTTTCTTGCAACAAATGCTGTCATAATAATGAAATCAATNTTTTTTTAGCAGAATAAACCAAATGGTTTGAATGCTCTAAATAAAAAAAACACTATCAATGATAACAAAAATTGCTATCAAACTGATAAGAAAGATAGTGAAAATCAATCAATGAAGCATAAATCAATACTCCTCAAGAAAATCCAACAAAAATAAAAGTAAAAAAAATTAAACTCACTCAAAATCACCCTCCGTCATCCCTTTACTCCTCAAGTACATAAAGCAATCGTCCCAGCAGAAAAATTTTCTGAAGTCACAGTAACTAAATTTTGATACTTGCTCCTTAGTATCAGCCCTTGGAAAACAAACGATAAAAATATTTAAAAGAATACGAAAATCCCAGAATTGAAAAAAAATGAAACGAAAAGATCAATTTTATTAAATTGAAAACTGAAAAAATTAAGCAATTATATCATTACGAATAAAATACATTTTTCGGAGTAAGTAGACTTGGAAATTGTTTTAAAAACTTAATGTCTGGAGACCTTTTGTGGGGAATTAAATCACAAAAAGCCTATCGAAGTTTTTATTCAAGATTATTCATTATAAAGATAAAAGAATATTCAACAAGATCATGAAAATCGGTTCAAGGTGAAATTGAATGAGAATCATCTAAAAAAAATTTTGCCTATTCGAAGACTGAAATAAAATATAATGTTGATTTAGTCATTGTCGCAATTTGATATTAATTAATAAAAAATTAATGCATCCAAAAATGGCTTTCATTTAAAATTCTAAAAATTAGAAAATCATATCAGAAATAATGTAGGAAATAAAACATGTTAATGTCGCTCTTCAGAAACAGCAAAATCGTAAAAAAAATGTCACAATTGAAAAAATAGAATGGAACGTGAATAAATGAAAAAATCATTTTATTGAGAATCATCTCAAAAACCAAAAATTAATTGAATTTCAAATTCTGAAAAATAAAAAATTATGTTAAAAATAACATGCGAAAATGACAATAACTGCCTTTCAAAAACAAACAATGAAATCATTAAAAAAAAAACAAAAATCCCACAATAAAAAAACAATAATAAATAATAAATAATTTAATTTCAAATTATAAAAACTAATAAATTATATAAAAAATAATACACAAAAATCACAATAACTGAAATAAAAAAATATGACCCTGAAGTTTGCAGACAAAAAAGTTCAACAGAGCATATCTGGTGAGGAAATTGAACAATTAAAAAATTTCAAGTTTCAATTTGTCAGGCGTGACGAAATCTAATCGTGATGGTGACTAAATATGTGAATAAATAAATTACGGGTTGATTTCTTCGGAATTTAACTACAGAAAACCATTGACACGGCATATCTCACCTCGAAGTTATTTTATTGGAAAAAAAACATGGTCACGATTTTCATTCTACGAAATTTCGACGTGATTTTTGTCCTTTTTTTCTAGTCTTATCGGTCAACGTTGAATCCGCTGTAGAACACTAAATCTTTGGCAAGCTTCATCCAAATGATCCGATCGAAAAAAGAAAAAGCATCACGTTTGAAAAAATTATAAATCTTATGGTGATGTTTGTTATTTTTTGTAATAAATGTTTCATTTAACAAACTGTATTTTGCGAGGAAATAGCAAAGAAATATGTCGCAGAGAAAAAAGAGCTAGAAACTCTAGAAACTCTAGTCACAAGAGGATGGGCAAATTGTACAAGGGTCACAAAAATCACGAGGATTACGAGGATCACAATGTGATGGTTAAATTTCACGAGGATCAAGCATCACGAAGATTATGAAGGGAGGGTCAAATTTTACAAGGGTAAAAAATCGGGCCGATTAAAAGGGTCGCAAAGGGAATGGTCAAATTTTGCAAGGCTCAAACATCACACGAGTCACGAGGAGATAGTCAAATTTCACGAGGGTCACAAGGGGATAGTCAAATTTCACACGGGTCACGAGGGTCACAAGAGGGTACTCAAATTTGTCGAGGGCCAAACATCAGGAGAGTCACAAGAGGATGATTGCACTCCAGGAGAATCAAACATCACGAGGGTAACGAGGGGATGGTCAAATTTTACGAAAGTCGAATATCCTGTGGGAAATTCTCGGATTTTCTAGAAAATTTGAGAAAATGCTCGGACTTTCTCAAACATTCGCACATTATTTTTATCATTCTTTTTGCCTTCACATTTCTCTGAGACTAAATTTCTCGTAAGATTTACAACGCAATGACTAAATTTCACGAGTGTTGAATGTGACACCCTTGTGACTCTCGTGGCGGCCGTGAAGCTTGACCACCCCTTTGTGACCCTTGTGATTTTTGACCCTCGTGAAATTTAATCATTCCCGTGTGATCCACATATCCCTCGTGAAGTTTGGACATTCCCTTGTGACCTACGTGACCCTCGTGATTTTTGACCCTCGGAAAATTTAACCATCCTCTAAAGACTCTCGTGATGTTTGACCCTCGTGAAATTTGACCAGCCCTTTGTTATTCTTGTGACCCCCGTGAAATTTGACCATCCTCCTGTGACCTTTGATGAAGTTTGACCATCTCTTTGTGACTTTTTGAATAAAAATTATTTTTCCTATTTTCTAAGTTTTACACTCACGAGACCGAGACGATACTGGAAATTTTGATATTTTTCGAGACCGAGACGAGACTGGCGAAAGTCTCGTCTCGTGCGCAGCCCTAAAAAGAAGAAACTCAAAGGAGAGTTTTCAAGAATGACATGTATAAATGTCGATTTTTTAAGAATATAATCATTTTTGTAGAAGATATCCGATGTTGATCGTATTTATTTTCGTAATTCCATCATTTTTGATGGAAATATCGAAGAGAAATCGAAAAAAAAATTTCACGTTGAGTTTTTATTGTAATCCAACGTTTCATTTATGTTTTGTCCCAATCTACGTATCTTCCTCGTAGATATCCTCAGTTGATGTTTTCCCTCGTGAAAAACATTACATATAGGGGAGGATGGGGTAAAATGGACACTTTGGACTTTTTTTAAATTACTCATAACTCAGAAACAAATTCATCAATTGAGCTCAGTTTAGGCTCATTACAAATGGAAAGAAATGTTCTTTGCATTTAAAAAAAAACTATTGAATTTCATCAACATTTCAAGCTGTTATTAACATTTGAAAAAAAGTCAAAAGTGTCCATTTTACTCCAACCTCCCCGTTTATTAATGAAACATTTATTACAAAAACAAGAAACATCACGAGAAGATTTATAATTTCTTCAAACGTGATGCTTTTTATTTTTTCGATCGGATCATTTGGATGAATAATGGAGCTTGCCAAAGATTTAGTGTTCTACAGCGGATTTAACGTTAACCGATCGGACCATAAAAAAAAGGACAAAAATCACGTCGTAATTTTGTAGAATGAAAATCGTGACATGTTTTTTTTTCCAATAAAATAATTCCGGAGTGAGATATGCCGTGTTAATGGTTTTCCATAGTTAAATTTTGAAGAAATCAACTCCTAATTTATTTATTTACATATTCATGATTGGATTTCGTCATACCTGACAAATTAAAATTAGAAATTTTCTCATTGCTCAATTTCTTCATCAGATATGCTCTGTTGAAGATTTTTGTCTGCAAACTTCAGGGTCATAAAAAAGTTGCATTTTAGTATGGGCCATTGGAAAAAACAATCAATAAGATCGTTAAAGGAAACAAAAAACCACAAATAAAAAAAAAGACAATGGAACGTAAGGTTGACTGCAACGAAAGCCACATCGCGAAAAAAAAAATATCGTGGCCCGCGCGTCGAAAAAACTGAGATTGCGTTAGCAATAATTTCTGAAATATGAAAAAACCCCAA